CTAAATGACAAGGGTAACCAAGGGCAAAATTTTTATGGCAAAACAACGTTTGCCGGGTCAGCTAGTAATTAATGTCATCATCAACAGCCTTTACTAGTCCACTGCTGGACATAGGCATAGACATCCTTAGAAAGGAGGTTTTTGCCTACTATACCACGCTGGCCAGACGGGTTGGTAAAAGGTTTGTGTCAAGTTTTCCTTCTCTCTGCAGTGCTGTTGTCCTGCGGAGTCATCACAGGGAACGAAAGGCGACTAAGGGAGCAACCCTTAGTCGCCTTTTACGACACCCACGGGATGAATAGGGGTGGTGACACTCTGTATTCTTAATCCGTCACCACACGGACAAAATGGTAATTAATATGGAGATGAAGATTATTTAAGGAATACTTTTTGTCCATCCCTGTGATGAAAAAATGTGTTTCATAAAAAATGTTTTTACCTAATACGTCAATATGCTAACTTTTGAACTTTCACTGACCGTGGTCACAGACCGACAGTCAGCCTGTGCCCACAACCGAAACCTGTCAATAATATATAAACCGCCATATAAAGATTGTTCGTGTCTATTTTTCGTGCCACTTGTGTTCTTTATTTCTCATTACTGCAACCACTATGTACCACTGCAAGGCTTGTCAGTTTACAGCTAGTATTATAAAACGTGAACATATTAACCCTTTTTGAAACAAATATGACGCGCGGAGGCATTTGTATGTTTAGATTACTTAATGGACGGGCCTGCTACTCTAGTAGTTAGTAAATTACAGCTAAACCTGGTAGTACAGAGGCCCTAGTGCAAGTTTAATTTACATCGACTCGCTCTCGACGGCGAGCGCGTTTAGCGTTGCGATTGGTGGAGATTTCAGCATATGCGCCGAACGCGGTTATCGTGACGATCGAGTGAAATCAACTCGCACTTGGCCCTCAGGCTCTACCTGGTTTGGGATCAGACGACCGCGACAGTGAGACGACAGAGAGAATAATAAGCTTACATAAGATATGTAAGCTTATTATTGTTATTATAATTATGTAGAAGAGTTGCACAAAGCTAAAAATATTGAACAAAAGGCGCTATAAACTAAAAATATGGTGCCTCTGTGGTGCTGTAGTAGCGTATGCGACTGCTTTGCTCAGGTCTCGGGTATGATTCCCGGGTTGGACCAAATGTTTGTATTGGAGTGTTTTCTATGTATAATATAGTATGTATGTCCGGCTGTGGAGCAAAGTTTCATCTTTGGAAGTTGTATACACCTAGATACTTTAGGGAGTTGTAGTGGCCATTACTGCTGATCCATATTCTAAACCCAACCATTTTTAAGATATTCGCCTTTTAAGATTTTTTTAAAAATTGCCGAAATTATGCCTAATACATTCTTTTATAACCTATATCCTCAATTTTTTCTTTATTTTACTGTTATCGTATCGTTGATACATTATTTTATAATTTCCTTAACAAAATTGTAGTTAACAAACTTGGCCGGAGTAGATAGTTAATAATAGCAAAATTAATTATTATTTCTAAAAAAAAATTGGCCAATATTTAAAAAAAGTCTACGACAATTAAGTTGCAGGTATATTAAAAAATTTTTATTTACTGTCAACTGTCTAACAAGGTATAAAAGTCTAGAATAGTTTCAGAATTTATAGAAAAAAAACTTAGATGAAAGTCCGGAAGTATTAAGAATTAGCGCACAACCCTGTAGTACCTAGTAAAAAACTTGGCTTGTATTTTTCGACTTCTATTCATGACTAACTAGTGCTAACTAGACTTTGATTTATGCTTCTGATACTGTTGAAGATGATTTACTGTTTAAGATGATAATATTTACCTATACTATCAAGGAAAATGTTGATGTTTTGATTTCTTACGGAAACTGCCAATGCGTATTTAAAGAGTAACCCTCAGCAACTTTAAAGGTTTTTATGGTACATAGGTTAATAGGTATTAGTTGATAAGTAATAGTTATTACAAGTAACATTTCATAGACGCGTGGTTGGATACACATTGACGTGTCATGTCAATTCTGACAGGTATGAAAGATTGACATATTGAAAAATGTTGCCTTGTTAACGTGTTTATCAAACCTTACTTGATTTTTAGTTTTTTTGTGTATGTTGTTTTTTAACTTTTGTTTTATTGTTGTATACTGAGCTATACATTATATGTATACTGAGCTATATATATATATGTTTACAAATAATTGAAGATAAAATAGTTCAATAAGTACTTATGTGTGATGTGTGTGCGTGTGCGTGTGTGTGTGTGTGTGTGTGTGTGTGTGTGTGAGAGTGTCTCTCTCTCTCTCACACACACACACACACGGAAGTATGTAACAGAAAGATATGGTAGGTCGCGCTATTTGACTTGACCAATGAGCGCGTGCTGTGCTTGATTTGCCGTGAAATGTTAGATGTCATACATCATATTCGACTACTATAGCTATAGAGCTTCAGGGTTATCTATATTTATATTATAAACTAGATGGTACCTACCCGACTTTGTACGAGTGGAATTTGAAAAGCTCTGCCTTAGTGATGTACTACAGTACGTGCCTGCAGTCCATGAGGCCTCGGGTTTGAGGAAAAATAGCCTAAGTTACTCCTCATCTAGGCAGCTACCTGGTAGTAAAATATTATCAAAATCGGTTCAGCTGTTTTGAAGATTACCGGAAACAAACAGAATGATAGACATAAAAAAAATGGTTTTTAGGCATAGGTATCATACAAATAACCGTGTGAGCATGAAAAACAGCTATTATTTTGACATTACAAACAGACACTTCAAATTTATTTATTTGTATAGATATATTATCTATACAAATAAATAAACTATAAAAAGAATAGCAAAGAAGTGAAGGAAAACTTGAAACAAACTCTATACCAACCCGTCTGGCCAGCGTGGTATTGTAGGCCAAAATCTCCTTTCTAAGGAGAGGCCTTTGTTTAGCAGTGGACTGTTATAGCACGGTACTATTATAATAATATTATAATTGTACCGTGGTTATAGGCTGTTGATGATGAGGACTTGATTATATTAACAGTGGTAAACGCCTAAGTGTATTTGTATATACGTATATACAAATACAATCAGGCATCATATGTATATTAATAATAATAAAGTAAAAAATAATTAATATACATAAAAAAAACATAAACAGCTACGTAAACGTACGAAATTGGAACAAACATCTAAAAACCATACATTGTTCTGTGTTTTCGATTTTGCGGTTTTTGGCACAGAAACCGGTGGCCGTTACGCCATGTAGGGTACATTTACAAGTAGACAAATTATATGACACCACAAAATTGCAAGTGGAGTTGGATACATACATTTATACCTACAATGTCATAAATGAATGATACAGTATTATTCCTGAATCCACACCAAACAATACATTTTGCAACATATGTTTTCGAGTTATTTATGTATGTATAAGAGTCAGACTATTTTCATACCAAATTTCCTCTAAATCGGTGTAGCGGTTATTAAATCCCAGTGCAAAACTTCCACCCTCGTTTTCATGACCTTAAAGGATGATTTCTGGAATAAAAACTATGCTGTATTCTTTCCCGGGACTTAAACTATATGTGAACAAAATTTCATTTAAATCGGTTCACCGGTTTAAGCGTGAAGAGGTAACAGACAGACAGACACACTTTCATCATCATCATCATCTCAGCCGAAAGACGTCTACTGCTGGATATAGGCCTCCCCTAAGGCTTTCCACAATCGGTCTTGTGCTGCCTGCATCCAACGGCTTCCCGCAACCTTAGCCAGATCCTAGGACCAGCTTGTACCGGGGACCTGTCCACGCTTCGTCTTCCGGTACGTGGTCGCCACTCCATAACTTTACGACCCATCGGCCGTCCCTTCTGTAAAAATTTGTACCCTGCCTACTGCCACTTAAGTTTGGCAATTCTCCAGACAATTTCAGTGACCTTAGTTCGTCTGTGCACCTCCTCATTCCTGATTCGATCACGTAGAGAAACTCCGAGCCTTGCCCTAGCATTTGCTCTTTGAGTGACTTTGAGCCTCCCTATAAGGCCCATTGTGAGCGCCCACGTCTCTGTGCCATAAGTCATCATAAACTGGCAACACACACTGCTCAAAAACTTTTGTCTTGAGACACTGCGGTATTTGGAACGCAGCTTCCCGAACGATGCCCAGCCAAGTTGAATTTAACGATTGACCTCTTTTTCAAAGTTGGATCTAGCTGGATAGTCTGTCTGTAGGTATACGTAATCTCCCATAGAGTCTCCAATTTTCACTGCAGTGGGTGCGACATGGGCATTCGATATGATTTACGTCTTATCCATGTTAATTTTATGTCCAGCAGTGGACCATTAAAGGCTGTTGATGATGATGATGAAGTTAATTTTGAGACCCACTCGTTTAAAGATCCTACTAAGGTCATCGAGCATTGTGCACACTTTCGCATTTAAAATATTATATATTTTTGTGTTTCTGTTCCAGTCATAAACAATCGACGTGTAAATATGACTTTATGATTTTATTGTATTCAGTTCTTTTTGAGCTTCCGTTTTCTGACCGTCAAAGAACTGGTACCATTACCATCAGCATTCGCTCAATAATTCTAGCTTTTAGGTATGTGTGTTAAAGTATGTGCCTATTCTCTTGTTAACAGACTCAGAATTCCCTACAACAGTCACTTCAAGTTACAAGATGCACCCCTGAGCTGATCAAGCTCTTGCTTACATTTTCCAAGGCATCCGTAAAAGCATAGCTCTTTTACGTCCATTGCGCTCCTCTTTTAACCTTCCTCTCCCTTTCAATAAACACACTTTTCATCATCATCATCATCATGATCATCATCTCAGCCGAAAGACGTCCACTGCTTTATATAGGCCTCTCCCATGGATTGCCACAACAACCGGTCATGTGCCGTCGGCAAGACATTGCCCGGCGAATTGCCAACCTTAAGTGGAAGCCTTATTACTATAGTAAATATGAATGTTGATCTTCTTTTGTTACAGAAACTAAAATGTCAGAAGGGGGCACAATCCCAGAAGACTGCACGACTTCTTCGTCTGGATCTGTTCGTTCAGAAGACAGTGATTTAACTAAACATAGTGCTACGGATTCTCTAAATAGTTTGTTAAAGAATAAGGAGACTTTTACAGACGATTGTACAGACACGTGTATGGATATGAAAGTGGAGTGCGAGGGAGAAGGAGAATCGAAACGGAGGACATGTTGCTGTAAGTCTTTGTATTGATTTCTAGACTCGTGCAACTTCGATTGCGTTTCTCAAAAGGAATAAATTTCCCCGTTTTTGCAAGATTTTTCATTGGTGCTCGGCTCCTATTGGTCGTAGCGTAATGTTATATAACCTATAGCCATCTTTGATAAATGGTTAATCCACAACTGAATGGATTTTTCAATTCGAACAAGTGGTTCCTGAGATTACCGCATTCAACAAAAACAAACAAACTTTTGAGGTTAATAATATTAGTATAGATCTCAAGCACAGATGAAACTTAAGCAACATCTCCCTGATACATGCAATTTAAGAGATAAAAGTGCGTTGCGACTCCTTGAGTTTGTGTCCAGAATTCTTACAATTGAAGGCATGGTGTTTGGGCTTCGGCAACATCACTAACTGACACACGGCCGTCTTATTCTAAACTAGGCAAAGCCTGTGCTATAGTAACTAGACTGTTGATAGACAAACTTAGAACAAACGTGTATTTCCAAATACATACATATTATAGATAAATGACACTTAGAGTTTGAGTTTTGAGTTTGATAACTTCCCTCAAATCTATACAAATATATAAAATTAGAGTGTCTGTTTGTAATATTAAAAGAACCACTTTTTACTAAATGCATATGTATGTTTACACGGTATATATGCCAAAATATCATTTTTTACAATTTTTGTCTGTCTGTCTGTCTGTCTGTTTGTTCCGGGTAATCTCTGGAACGGCTGGACCGATTTCGACGAGACTTTCACTGGCAGATAGCTGATGACATAAGGAGTAACTTAGGCTACTTTTTTTAGACTAGCTTCGCCCCGCGGCGTTGCCCGCGGTTATAACAACAAACGCGGGTAACACCGCGGGTCTCAGCTAGTTAGAAATATGTGCAAGACTTAGGCGAAAGGCTTTACTATGTAAAAACTGTCTGTTTATAACCTACATTTATTCGAGATTGCAGATATTCAACGATATATGAGATATGTAAGAAGGTTAATATAGTCAAATGACTATTACGGAAGCTATTTATTACTAGATAATTTGGCTAGACTTAATGTAGTTTTGATTATACAGGGATATCAGGCTGACAGGATTCCTGTACCGCGTTTGTTTTTTTGATAACAAGGAAATAAATATATTTACAAATGGTAGTAGACGATCGATTATGAGTTAGATTATAATAACAGATGGGTTTTACGAAATCTTTTATTAAAATTGTAATAAATTAAACGAGTTTGAATAGTTTCAAATGCAAATTTAATACCTAAGAGATTAAATTAATGGTGTGAATTTCTGAATGGTTTCTCTTTGTGGATGTTCTTTTTGTCATAATAAACTTTTTCTGGTGTTGTGGGACGTAGGATTATTGCCACAAATACTCAAGCCATCACCTCGTCGCTGCCTACTGCGTGATACTAAATGTTGTGGGTTCGTTCACAACACTTTGTGAGATCCACAAATTGCTGTTCTGAGTCTGGGTGTTCTTTGTATTCGTTTAATGAATGTTGGTAAAGTCCCCCGCGTCACAGAATTTAGGTATTTATAGAGCGGGAGTTGTCTCTATAATATGGTATTGCAATACAAGTTTACCCGTAATATAAATTGAACAGGCTCATTAATTATTGCATATAAATTGAGCAGCCATAAAAATAATATGCAAATTTAGCAAAGTATTAAAATAACTTAGTAAATAGCTAGGTATTTAATATTATTATTATTGTTTTTCTTCAGGTCAACCATGTATCAATTATATTGGGCTCTTGTTCAATTTCGTATTCTTACGATTCTTACGAAATAAAAGAATTATAGCACTCATAAAGGAAACCTGCACATCCATTGAATCCAATGATAACTACGTTGTATGTCGTACCAGACGTTCAGAGAAACCATCGTAAATCGATAGTTCATCTGTTATTACTACGTTATCATTGGATTGAATGGATGTGCAGGTTTCCTTTATGAGTGAATGGTTCTTTTAACTTTACCTACCTCAATATATTGACACAGATTTTTGTTCCGAGTGTACGCGATAATCGAACTCATGGCCTTGAGAGCCGTCGTAAGTTATTGCATGACGCAATGAATGTAACGGACTTATAAATATAGTTGCGACTTGCGAAGAATTTAAATGTAGTATAAGACTGTTGAAAAAAAGTTCAAATTAGAAAAAAGAGCGACTTTATAAACTTAAAGTTCTGTCCATCTTTGTCCATAAAATAAACTAGGTAGCTGAACCCAATTTTCCAAAGTCCCACATTGAGCTGGCCACAAATCAAAGAAGGAAAAGTTCAGGCAAATGATAACCTAAATGAACAATAAAAATATACCACGCGTATTTTTCTCTAACCTAAAATACATTATTTGTCAGACTTCTCTTAACATCACATGTAATAGGTACGTATTTTTCAATATTCAATATTTCCTTATTATACCTGAGTATACAAATTAGATACACTAACTAACTAAAAAATTTATATTCCATAAACATCATCCATAAATTATTACGAATACAACAATAAACAAGTTTACAAAACATTAAAACCTTAAACTTCCTCGAGCCATCTTCGGCGGTCCAGAGACAAGTTATTTAAATTTTAGTCAACCACAAAGGTGTCATACGCATTCAGCCTAGTGACAATGTTATGTGACAATGAACGTCCTAGCTCTACAAGATACATAATAATGTTACCTCACGTTTTGCATATTAAAAAAAAAGATAATGTGCTGCGAATCATAATTTTAATTCTTGGTTCCGTAAGTTAAAGTATGATAATTGTTATAGTTCGGCTAAATGCCAGGTCTGTGAGCATGTCTGCAAAAAGAATAAGATCGTCCGCGACACTGTATAGACTAAAATCTAGTGCTCTGATTATATGACGATATAATATTCAAAGTCATTCTTATTTACTAAGTCCTTAAGCAATACGTGAGAACACAATTTGGTCGTCATTAGCGCGGCATGTGCATTTGTTTTCCTACTGAAGATTGTACTCTGCAATTTTGTTTGCACAATTTTGCCAGAGATTATATTCTGGCAAAATTATTTTCGGTGATATTAATATGTGTTAAGCCTTTGAAATACGTGATTTATGTAAATATCGTGATATGCTCTAAAATAATTTGAGGTTTGCACTACAATGAGACTAAGTTTGGAAGAAAAAAGAATATCCAAATGAATTTGATTCTATCGTAGACCTATGATCACTAATATTACGAAAAAGAAATATTTTTCAAAGGACTACACGTACCGAAAAAAATCTGATACAATCTTGTCATAATCCGATGAAACGTTTTACGTACGATAAGGGTGTTAAGGAAAATCAGGATCACAGGTCAGTAAGGTATAATACCTCAAAGGTTTACTTGGTACGAAATTCGAAAAAAAGAATTGACAAATTATAACGCTTCTAAAGATATAACCAACCGTAGCTAAACAAAGCAAAGGTATGGGTTCCCTCGAACCGTTTAAATACGGTACCCTAAACTTCCCACAAAATGGTAGTTGTGTCACAAAGATATCTTAATCTTGAAATAAATTTATTTCTTATTCCATTGTAATAAGAACCATTTTATAAGTAAGAACTAATATTTTAAGGTTACATTGTTTAGTTCAAATTACGTTTGGTGTTATTGCGTCATAAGAATGACGTAGGTGATATGTGTCTTTGGTTATTGAGGTCACTATGATTAATACTGGTTAATTGTCAATATAAATGGTGACAGTTAACCAGTATAAGTGTAGACCATAGACTTGGTACCGTAACATAGAGAATCTGAAGTCTGCATCTGTCTGTCCAAGGAAAACCGGTGTTGAGTAATTATTTCGTTGCTTTTCACCGAGTAAATTAAGTTACAAGAGGTATAAACCCCCCCCCCCCCTCCTACCCCATAACTATAGGGGGGCACTCAACTCAAATCTGGTAGTAATCTACTCCGGTCGAGGCGGCCCATGTGTCCCGAATCATAGTTTTCACATAAAATACCATTATCAGTTCAACTACTTACGAGTTCAATGACACATGGACACAATACATGTCATGTACAGAAGAATTATATACATACATAAATAATGATAGCTACAAAAAAAATGTACACCTTATACTAATATTATACGAGTAAATGCGAAAGTGTGTTTATCTGTCTGTTACCTCTTCACGCTTAAGCCGCTAAACTGATTTAAATGAAATTTGGTAAAGAGATAGTCCGAGTCCCGGGAAGGGCATAGGGTAGTTTCTATCCCAGAAATCATCCTTTAAGGGGGTGGAAGTTTGTATGGGAATCAGTAAACCACTGAAACCGATTTAGACGAATTCGGTTATGGAAATACTTTGATTCTTGAGGACAGACATAGGCTACTTTTTACCACAATTATCGACATTTACGCGGGTGGAGCCACGGGCAAAAGCTAGTATTTAAATAACATTATTGATTGTGTATACAGATTTTACATAAAAAACACATGTATAAACCTGGAAACTGTTTTTGAAGGCCTTTACACGCCAGGGGCCTTAACCTTACTAATTATAAACATTATTAAGTATAAACTTTTTTTTTTAGTTAAACGTAGTTATTTTAAACTGTGTAAGTGAGGGAAAATAAAGAGGCTTTATTATTATTATTATACACATAATAACAATTATCCCCCTCTCTCTCTCTTCAATGCTGCGTCCGACAGCGTCCATGATTGATATTTAGCTTAAGTTTCACCAACAGGCAATATATTGTTGAGTATACTGCACACGCATATATTATGTACGCTACGACTGCCTCGATGGTGCAGTGGTAGTGTATGCGACTGCTGTGCTGAGGTCTCGGGTTCGATTCCCGGGTCGGACTAAATGATCTGTCAATATTTGGGTATTTTCTATTTATGTATAATATGTATGTATTCACAAGATCGTCCGTGTAGTGACGGATTAAGAATACGGAATGTCACCACCCCTATTTATCCCGTGGGTGTCGTAAGAGCCGACTAAGGGACCAAACTATGCAGGACAACGGCA